TGGACCAAAAGTCTGCAGTCTACAAGAAGAAGACTGTTTGTTTTTTAACGTCTGCAGACTGCTAAAATGAACTGAAATATAAATAAACTGATTTTTTAAACTTAAAAGAGTTTTGTAATACTGAGATTTAAATAATTTTAGTTTTACAATACTGAAATTTAAATAATCCATACAACTACAATAATAAATTATTTAAAATAAATCAATCCATATTTTAAAATAAATCAATTCATACTAATAAATTATTTAAAATAAATCAATCCATACAACTACAATAATAAATCAATCCATATTTTAAAATAAATCAATCCATACTAATAAATTATTTAAAATAAATTAATACATACTAATAAATTATTTAAAATAAATCAATCCATATTTTAAAATAAATCAATTCATACTAATAAATTATTTAAAATAAATTATTTTAAAATAAATCAATCCATATTTTATAATAATTTATTTTAAAATAAATTATTTTATAATAAATTATTTTAAAATAAATTATTTTAAAATAAATAACCTTATTAAATTATTTAAAATTATTTTAATAAATAACTATATTTTATAATTGTTCTTGAAGAGGTTTGAAGACCTTTGAAGACATAAAACCAAGTCTGCACCAAGAAGAGCTCGCGCAGACGTTTGAAGAGCTTATGTCTTCTAAAAAACAAACAGTCTGCGAAGCCTAATGTCTACGCGTGGTCTGCGCGACGCAGACATAAGTGGTTTGAAGAGCTTACACAGTGAAAACAAACACCACCTTAGACTTCTCCCGTTCCAAGCTACCAAACCTTACCCTTTCCATAATCTTCCCAAAACCATCTTCTTCAAAGGTATAATCTTTTCTCTCCTCTTTAAAAGTCTGGGTTTTTATTTATAATAAAATTGGGTTCCAAGAATTGATTTTTCTTTTTGGGCAATTTTGAATACAGGGAATGGCGACATCTCAGCTAACAACATCGTCAGTGACAGCATCAACAAGGAACCTGATACAGAGTGATCTGAGACAAATGATGCTGAGCTGTCAGATTGTACCTTGATGGCGCTGAGATACCATGAGTTGGCAGATCAGCGCAAAAGCGGGAATTGATTGTGATATGTTTCTCATTGGGGTCGTTTTAAGTGTGTTTCAGTCTTTTGGCCATAACTTTGGATACGGGTGTCAGAATCGCGCATAAGACCCCAATCTGAAAAGCTCTTTTCGACGCGCACGCTGTCCACATGAGCTATGCTCCATGTGCCTTTTTTCGACCTCAAATTCTGCCGTTTTCCCCTCCAAATCACTAGATTTAGATATTTTTTACTATTTATGGTAATATTTCGATTGTCAATTAGGAAGTCATTTTAAATCCGATTTCGGTCGGATTTTTTGCAGATTGCTTATTTTATTTTGAATTTCAATTTAGAGTGATTTTCGGGATTTTGCTATTTTTGGTAAAATTCCGATAAACAAGATTTTTGGCTATAACAGTCCGGCTTGTGGATTGATTTTGGACAGTTTTGATTTTATAATATTTTATTAAACTCTAGAGACTTTTTTCCTCTGGTTTTTGGGCGAATTTTCTCTTGTAAATCATCTGTTGGAACTAGCCTGCAGGATAATCGTTATTTTGTCTGGCGTCAGAACCGGGCTTCATTTGAAGAGCTTAGGCATTCTAGTGTGAAATTTGCTTCCTTTGGAACATTAAAGCCTGGGACTTTGACCCACAGGTCCTTTAAAGAATTGGTTGTAAAAGCGGCTACCGTTGTTGCTCCTAAGGTAAATTCTTCTTATTACTTTGTTGTTGCCATTGCTTTGTTGTTTTTCTTATTAAACTTGACATTGTTTTCTGGGTTATTTGTCAAATGTTGATGTACCGCCTTATGTATTCTCATATTTGAATGAGACTTGACAATTGAAATGTATTTGTTGCTATTGGCTTAATTGAATTGCAAAAATGGATTAATCTATTACAAATTAGTGTAGTAAATGTGATCATTTGTTCTCCTTGTATGTACTTTGGTTCTCTGCTTACATGAGATCATCTTATTGCTATACGCAGTACACTTCAATTAAGCCCTTGGGTGATAGAGTGTTGGTGAAGATCAAAGAAGCGGAGGAGAAGACCGAGGGTGGCATTTTGCTTCCGACAACTGCTCAATCCAAGCCTCAAGGAGGTGAGGTAGTTGCTGTTGGTGAAGGGAAGACAATTGGGAAGACCAAAGTGGAATGTTCTGTGCAGGTGAGTTTCAAGGATTCGATATGCTTTCTAGTTTTTTCCTTCTATTGGTTGCTCCATTATGGTACCTTTACTCAATTCTATGGTTGTATTAGTCTGGAGCTCAGGTCATATATTCCAAGTATGCTGGGACGGAAATCGAGTTCAATGGCGCAAATCATCTTCTCCTAAAGGAGGATGACATTGTTGGGATTCTTGAAACGGATGACATCAAAGATCTCAAGCCTTTGAACGAAAGAGTTTTCATCAAGGTTTGCTTCCTTTCAAAATCTGTATGCTTGGTTGCTGCTACGATGTTCTGTCAAGTTTCTATTAGTTAGGGTCCACTAATTTCCAATGCATCTTTGATCACCATTCACAAGTGATTCTAACATATGTGAACATTAACAATTTAGTGTATTGAAAAGTAATCGACTGAAAATGTAACGGAGGTGTATATTTGTCTGTGGTATACCGATGTCACAGAACTCAATGTTGTGTATGGATTTTGTTGCAGGTTTCAGAAGCCGAGGAGAAAACTACTGGAGGATTGTTGCTGACACAGGCAACCAAGGAAAAACCTTCCATCGGCACGGTGAGCAACAGTTATAAGTTCTGGGAGTAGGGCATACCACCTTGTGCTAATTGTGCAAAACGTATTCCTTATGCCCTGCATTAAACGTAACAGGTGATAGCGGTCGGACCTGGAACTTTAGATGAGGAAGGTAATGCAAAGCCACTATCAGTCACACCCGGAAACACAGTCCTGTATTCGAAATATGCCGGAAATGACTTCAAGAGCAATGACGGCAATGATTATATTGCCCTGGGAGCATCTGAAATAATGGCTGTACTCTCGTAGCTGTATAGTAAGATTGTGGTTTAGGTTTTTAAGTTGAAACTGGATTCTACGGATGAGTTGCTACAAAACACCAGGATTTTGAGCATTGAGTTCACTTTGAATTTTCAGATTTAGAATAACTAAAAAATTGAAAAAAATAAAATGACGTCTCTTTTTAAATTACAATATTATGTTTATTTATAGATCTAATTTTATGTGGTATAAATCTTGTACAATATTATAAATATAGAAAACATGTTAGGTTAGATTCGGATTTTAAATATTTGAGCTTGAACATGTTCAATATTTTAAACGAATTTATAGTTTCATCCAAATATTGAAAAAACATTTTTAAATATAATTCTTTGATTTCATATTTATATATAATAATTAGCTGACCCTATTCCTATAGTAATGGGGTGAGAGGGAAGTAAGGTAGTAAGCTGGCCCTCAATGCCAGATTGAGAGCAGCTTCTGTGGAAGACCTCCGGCAGTCATAATTATGAATTGCCCACCGTGGGACTCGATCCAACGACCACAAGATTAAGAGTCTTACGCTCTACCAATTGAGCTGGACGGACAATTCATATTTATAGATAATAAATAATAATAAATGTCTCTATTCAAATTTCAGGTACATTTTAATTATATATCGAGGGATCTTGTTCAGTTGTTACTCAAACATTGAATATCAAATAAAAACAAAAGTATATTTTAAATAATTTAGTAACGTATGTAGGAATCCAGATTGAAATTAAAAAAAATTCAGATTAAATAACATATTATTAAATTATTATTAGATATCTTGCAGATTTGGTTATTGTAATTTAATACTTCTATAGCTACACCAAGAATTAAAAATTATCTCAATTCATAATTTGGATATAAATTATACACAAGTCATCGTCTTCAAATTATTATTTTAAGCTAGTTCGAGTAAATAATTCATCTTACTAATTTATATATTTTTTTACAATTGTATATTCAGTGTCCCTAATGAATATAACACTGAATTTTCAATAAATTATTAATAATTTAGAGCAAATCTAAAATAAAATAAACTTAAATCTAAAATGGTTGATAATTGCCAATTTAATTTGGTAATTACTGTCAAAAAATTTAGTTTAATTTAATTTTTTTATATTATAAGGACCAAAATGATCTGTTATAGAAATTTCCGAAATTCTTTTAAATGCTATTAATCCCTAAAAATTCAAATACAAAATAAAGAGAAAAAAAGGAAAAATCTATGATTATCAGCAATAATTGCAAGGGCAAGACTTGCCTTAGATCTGCGCCACGTATGAGAAAATAGATGGTGATGGTGGAGCGCCAGGAGAATCTTTAGTGTGGTAAGTGCAGGGTGTGGGCCATAGCCATCGAGATCAGGTATCAATCATTAGACAAAAAACAATTATGAAGATTGGTCCCACTACAAAAGCGACCTTTCTATTAAATCATTCTTCGGTTAATTTTATCGTTTGTCCCTAAACTATATCATAAATTTTATATTTAGTCTAAAATTTCAAAAGCATCTTAATTGAGTTCTCGTAAATATCTATATCACACCATTCAAGCCTCATTCTTTAAGTCGTTAGTTTAGACATTAGATATTAGTTCGAGTTTGATTTAGAACCTATTTAATTTATAAATGTATTTATCATCATATTTAAACTTAAATATACTACTTTTAAAAGTAAAAAATAACACCCGAGTTGACAATTAAAAAAATTAATATGATATCGATAATTTAAAAGTTTGATTAATATAGATTTAAAATTTTAAGGTTAAATTTAAAATTTAGAATATTATTAAAGATGTTTGATACAATTAACTCAATTATTTTTAATATTCATTAATATAAAGTATTCAAATTAAATAATTGAATTTGATAATAGCAAAGTTGCAATAATGACACAAATAATAATATATAATTCGAAACTAAACCATGGGCTAAGTCCACCACCCACTCCACTCCATAAATTTATAGCAATTTTCAACATTGGCTACCTTCTGTGGAGGAGAGAAACAGCTTCAAATATCTCTCCAATTCTCCACCTCGTAGCTAAGGTTTTGATCGTTTCTAAGTTATGTCCGGGAGGAGACCACGTCTGATGATCGGAAAATTGTCTGACTTATTGGTTTCAGGCAAAAAACCCGGATTTTTTTTGGATGCTGCTACAAGCCCCACAGGTTCATTAGATATCAACACTCCGTCACCAAGAGGTATGAAGAGATATGATGTTGGTGGGGTTGGACTAGGAATCGTTGCTGCACTGGATAAGTCCACCACTGATTCCTCTAAGCATGACATTTGTGGCTCAAATTTGATTGTTGTCAATTCTGGGAAGAATCGTGATGGATTTAGGGGAAGATACGAGGATTTAGAGATGGAGAATTTGGAGGAGATTACTTATGTGATTAGCCATGGATCTGGGAAGTCATCTACAAAGGTGTATTATGATGGTGGTGAACAAAGGAGAAAATGTAATAGCAGTGGTGAGAATGGGCATGGAGCAAGATTTGTGGAAGATTTTCGTTACCCAACTTCATATTTTCTCAGTTGTTGTCATCTATGCAGGAAACAGCTCCATGGCAAAGACATTTACATGTATAGGTAAAATTAAAATACCCTTTGCCTCTTTTGTTATGCTGCTGCTTTTCGTTTAGTCATTTCTGGTGTCTTTTCTTGTTGAATTTATGGTGATTTTCGTTGTTTTTTTCAGGGGAGAGAAAGCTTTTTGCAGTTCAGATTGTAGGTCAACGCAAATAATGATGGATGAGATGAAAGAACGATGCAGATCAGAAGTGTCAAGGTCTGCAAAAGTATCAACATCTTATAATTCAGGGGAGATCTTCTTCTCAACTGGGATTCTTGCAATTTAGCCTCACCAACCAAGCTTATGATTTGGTCTCCTGCAAGTGTAGTTTTCATCTATCTAAAGGGAAATACAATAACTTTATGAGGATTAATAATAACTTTGTTTAAAACAAAAAGGAAATTTTGGTCGGATTGGAGCAGTGATGTATAGGTTGTACTGAGAACTATGGAATTTGATGAAGAAATGAACTTCCTTTTGTAGTTTACATTTTTCATTTTTTTTTCTTTTGAAGAGAAGATGATTGTGAACTGGGGCAAGGTTTATGATCTGTTAGAAAAGGTAAGAAATATGAAGCCATCTGTGATATATTATAATGATCACCAAAAAACATGATTTAGTTAACAAAGGAATGAGTTTAGTACAAACTAGATGAAGGTGCAGTTCTCCGAATTCCGAGTCCTTGTGAAGCCGAGATAGGAGGCGGATCCCACCGTTTACCGGTAGTACATAAGCTGCCGGGTTGTCGCAGCACCACCATATTGACTCATTGCCACCTGCTGTTCATAGGCAGTTGAAAACACAGGCACAGGTGCCTCATCTGGTGGAGGTAGAGGGATAGAGCTTGTTAAATAGGTTGCCACTCCAAAAGCATGGAAAAGCCTGTGAAGATCAACTGATGTAACCTGCAATTTTTTTGTCTATTAGAACCATCACCACCAAAAGAAAAATCACCTATTATCCATCCATCCATCCATCCGACATCAAAATACTGAAGTGCAATGGAAATTTGATATTTCTACTATAAAAACTTATTAGAAGTTGCCATTGAACCCTAAGCATGGAAAAACAACAGTTGTACTGCTTCATTGTCTACCATACGGTGTTACTAAGGTTAGCCATGTACATTAATTGATCATGCTATTAGGATACAAAACCAGTAAACTGGAAAATTTAGAAAGAAACACCCATGGCTATTCCAGAAAAAGAAAATGAAGTTCAGGGGGAGGCTAAATAACACATCACAAGGGTTCATAGTGTTACATACAGTTTCCTTCCATTAACAGCAGATATCAGTCCATTCCAGTAGAACCAAGATCCCCAAAATTCCAATACAAGTTGATGAGAGTTGAAAATCAACTAGTAAAACAATTGAATCAAACGATGACCTTAAAAAGTTTACATCCTTCAATAGGACCGGTACTACTCAAGAACACGAAGTGGTAACCAAACTGTGCATTAAGCCTTTATTTATGCTTGACTTGTGCATGTGGACTACATACGAGTAGACGCCGCGTCGCCTATCACCCATTTGTTTACTAGGGTATGTTTGGTTGGAGGAATGTGAGATTCCCGAATAGAATCCACATTCCCCAGTTTGGTTGGTCGGGAATGTCATTCCCGGTAATCTTACATTACCAATAGTGGATTTTTTGGGGTATATTACCAAGAATGTCATTACCTCTCTTTCCTTAGGTATTGTTGGATTACCGGCGTTTTGGACTAAAATGGCCTTAATTTTTTTTCTTTCAAAAATATTCTTATTATGTCATTGAATAATAAAAATTCTACGAAGGTTAAATTACAAATTTCTCCTTAAACTATTTTAGATTTCAAAAAAAAAATCTATAATAAAAATTTTATATGAAGTTCAGGGGTTAAAATAAAATTTTTTCATATAAAATTTTGCCCTTTCATTAAACCATTTTATATTTTCAATTTTGTAAAAAAAATTATATAAATTTTATGAATTTAAAATTTTTAAAGAAAATATATAAATATTTTATAACTTGTTAAAAAATAAATATATAATAAGGATAATTTGGTCAAATATACATTTAAATAATCTTTTATTCATTTAACCAAACACGGTAATCTTACCTTCATGTTAAACCAACCAAACAAAAAATACAACATTCCTAGTAATCTTATTCTCTGGTAATCTTACATTCCGTGAACCAAACAACCCTAATGTGTTCAAAGTCTCCTGTTGTGATTTTATTTTAATGGAACACGCCTTGGTTGAAATGGAATATATGAGTTAAAATCGAATATAAGGAGTTTAATTATTATTTTAAAATATAAATTATCATTACGACCCTCGCATTCTTTCTTTAATTCCATTCCTCTCTCTCTCTCTCTCTCTCTATATATATATATATATATATATATATATATATATATATATATATATATTGAAAATTGCAAATGACAACAGTTCACTGGTATTGCATTGTCATTCATTTGACATGGTGAAATCTTCTTCGAAGTTGTATAGCATCAGGTCTCGATAGTTTATCCATGAACATGAAATGACTATTTGCTTATCGGTCTAATTATTATTTTAATCCCTGTACTCTTCACATTTCTAAAATTTAAACCCTTTATTTTGATTTAATAATCGAAGTTCGTCGGTTAATATCGTCAAAATATCTATATTAAATTTGAGTACATATATTTAAGAAAAAGGATGAACACGATGATGAAGAATCAAAGGGCAAATCAATAAAAACAAAGGGAAATCAATAAGGCAACATAATTGTTGATAACAAAGTAGAATATGATTAGACCAGGATACGACTGTGATTTGATATTAAATTCAACTCTTGCCAATCCCCAGTTTCTTCAGCTTTTTTGATACTTCAACATCAAGTTCATAGTTTCATACAACCATTGAAGTGAAGAACATAAACTTTTGATTCATGAACTAATAATTTATTAGTAGAGAATAATTACAATTAAACTAATGATTAGATTTTGATCGAGAGTTAGGATCTAAGAGAACAGCTAATGAAACAGCTTGAAAACCTGCTGAAAAACAAAAACAATAAAAAAAATATATATCCGGCTTAACAATAAGCCTAAAAAAATTGACTCGATTTGATCCGAATTACTGAGGGGATTGAGCAGCCAAACCGAGCCATGATTTGCTGTCGGCGGGCTTGGAAGGCGATGCTGCCGGCTTACCAATCTGGTATGGTTCCCTTGTGGTGATCCTGTCCTTCCTCTTCTCGAGGAACCGGTGGAGCGATGCTCTCCTCGCAATTGGTAAATCTGCAATGGACAAAAAACCAATACGAAACCCCAAAATATGAACTTTACTCGGACTATTGAAAGAACAAAGATGACTGCAAGACTTACCGCTGCCGGGATTTGGTCGCAGAGCAGCTCGTACGCAACCTTGTGTTACGATGTTGCTGAAATTAGATGTAGGAGGAACTCCGGTACCGGATTCAAGTGGACTTCTAGCCATGCTATTGCTTTGAGAGTTCCCCTTGCCAGCTAAAAGCATGATTTCCTTAGCTTTATCGGCCGGGAAATCGTTGAACACGATCACTTGTCCAGCATAGAAAATAGTCATCTGTGCAGCTTGAGGCTCCACCGCAGCCGGTTTGTTCCTGGTGGTAACATTGGAATCAACCCTTTTCGGGCACTCGTCCTTCGGAACCGACGATGATGGAAAACCAGCTTGATTAGGGAACAAATCCATCGATCTCGATTTCCGAGTCACCGTAACGTTGCGGCCACAATCGCCACCAGATTTCTCATTGACTGGAAACAAATTCATGGTAGGACAAGGACGCAGCATCTCTGGGTTCCCTGCAACATATCCATAAACAACACTTCAAATTAGACTCAATAAGTCAATATCTCTTATAATACATACAAACGCACATGGTTCAAATTAGAATAAAGGACATCTTTTTCTTTTACTGTTTTGAGATCTGAATATTAAACATCTGGGAAAAAAAAGATGAGAACTTACCATTAGCTTCAACGTTGCATGTCATTCCCAGAGTCAGATCTCCAAACCTACCTTTCTCCTTCAAGTACTGACTAAAAAGGCTACAAGTTTGCGTAAAGCCTGGCTTCTCCGGTGAACAAGACATCCTTCAAACAAAAGCAGAATCTTTGATCCTCTGGGTTTTCAGAGAATGATTTGAAAAACGAAATACCCTGGATTCTTTAAAACTTTACTTAGCAGCTAAATGAAGGATGTGTTGGGAAATTATGATGGTTGGCAAAGCAAGAGCTTTTATTTATATGATGTTTGAAAAGAAAAGGTAGAAGAAGGTGGGTTAAAAGCACGAGGAATAAACGAGGCTTTGTTTAAGCTTTGCGGCTGCCCTATAGTATACAGCTTCGTGACTCCTTTGGGTGGCCTTCAATTATCTTATTTGTTTCCTTTCTTCCGGATTTTCAACGCGTATTGCTTTCTTCATTCATTTTTATTAATTTAAATTATATATTAAATAGAAATTAACAACAAAGGGTGTTTTGGTAAAACAAGTGTTCTAATTAAGCACCTTTGAAACAATAAAATAATTGCTTAAATATAAAAAAAATGTCCGACATATGTTCATTTGTCCAGTTTAGTGTTTAATATTTTTTTTATTTTAGTTTGGTGTCTAAAGTTTTATTATGTTACTCAAAATGAATAATGTTATGATGGGTCGTTAGTTTTCTCCGTTAAGTGACACGTGTCACAATATGGTAATTTTAAAAAAATTATTTAAAATTAAAAAAATATATATTAAAAAATACATAATTTTTAAAATAATCCCAAAACTTTAAAAACCTTCATTTCAACCCATTAACTTTTAACCCATCACCGAACCACCCTTCTACAATCGATGGTGGTGTACACCGCCGCTCCCACCGAAAAATTGCTTCCCTTTTCCATCAACCCCTCGATTCTCAAATGCGTTTTTTCAGTGGAACTTCCCCATTGTCTTTCTTCAGACATTACCATTACTTTTCTTTTCCTTTCATTTTCCCATACTTTCCTTCACTTTCCCACTACCCAAACATGGACCTTTCCACAAAACAAGGATAAATTGGGGAACACGGTTTACAACAATCATATGGGGACTCTGGAAAGCTAGAAACGAAACAGTGTTCAAAGACAATAATTCCAATGCAAATCAAATCATTCAATGTAGCAACATCCTTCGATCTAGCAACAAACTCACAACAGACATCAACCACGCAATAAAAAACATCAATAGAAAAATTTCCAGTGAACCCAAACGGGTAAAGTGGAGAAGATCGCCGAGAGGGCATTGGATTCTTAATACCGGTGGAGTGTGTAAAACGAGAGGGCTGATAAGGGACGAAAACGGAAAATGGATACACGAATCCGTGATTAACATCGACAGAACAACAAGTGAAATGGCTGAAATTTGCGGAATCAGAGAAGGAATGATCCTTGCTAATTCGATGAGGGCGAGAAATCTAATTATTGAGATGGACACGAAATGGGTCATTGAAACACTGCAAAAGGAAGAGTCAGAAGACATGCACAAGGAAATTATCATTAGTGGGAAAGGTCCATGTTTGGGTAGTGGGAAAGTGAAGGAAAATATGGAAAATGAAATGAAAGGAAAAGAAAAGTAATGGTAATATCTGAAGAACGTCAATGAGGCAGGGTCAAAGGTTAATGGGTTGAGATTAATGTTTTCAAAGTTTTGGATTTGTCGACACCGTTTTTCGCCCGGGCGGGGGAAAACTTAGTACGACTTGGGGTTTTCTTTGAAAAGGTTTTGAAATGTTTTAGAGTCGCCATCGACCTTTTGGGTTAGGTAGGTCGAATACCTAAAAAATTTCTTTTAAAAGAATTTTTAAGAAAAACGTCATTTTAAAAGATACACTGATCCACGTGTAACCAGAAATTCATTTTTAAGCAATAATAAGGGTTCGGGGGTCAATTACGTGTGGGGAAGGATAAGCACCCCCACAACGCCCATAATTGGTACCCCATCGATTATAAATTGTCTCTAATAGTGAAAATCTAAGAATTTTAATATAAGTTTAAGTTATGATCCTATTATTCCAGATTCAACCATACAATTTTTATTTACTGAAAAATTCTAAGGAGAAATAGAAAATATTCTAATATTTCCAATTGAAGAGAAAATAATCCTAAAATACTGTAGGACGAATATTTCTCTTTCTAACTGAAATAAAAAGAATATAATAATTTCTCCCAAGAACTCAATATTAAAATAATGTGATTCAACCAAATTGAATAAAACTAAAATAAGCATATTCAAAAGTTTTATGTTTTTCTAAATAGAGATTTTATTTATTTTAAAATATCAGAATAGGACATCTAGTTACTTTAATATCATCCCTTCTTAATATTTTAAAATAAATAAATACTACCCTTAATCCAATTATGAAATCGATTAAGTTATGCTTATGAAGCTTTCATACATATTCCAAATATCTAGATCTATATGCACAAACAAATTTTCATGGCAAAAGTTATAAATTAAAAATACTAATTAGGAACAAATAAATGAAAATTAAAGTAAAGATAAAAATTAAATGCTATTCAATGATGGAAATAAAATTGAACTAAATTAACAAGTGCATACTTTAAAGCATAAATATTACGTTAAATAAGCAAACAAAATATAATTACTAAAATGAACATTACAAAAATTAAAGTTCTAAATAATAAAGGTTAAATAATAAATACTAAAATGAACAATACAAATGTAAATAAAGAGAATAAAGTACTTGAGTTTAAAAAATAAAATTGTACATTCACCTAAATTATAAATAATAAAATATAAAACATATGCATCACTTAAAATACATACTACAAATTTTACATGCCAAATATAATGTATAATACATTACACCACAACTCGGGACTAAATTAGAATATTACAAATTATATGCCAAATGAGAAATAAAAAAAGTGACTAAAATAAATAAATTACAAATATCACATCCAAATCATAATATAATAAAAACAAAATCCAAACAGTGACTAAAATGAATAAACATAAAAAACAGTGACTAAATTCGAAAGTTAATAAAATCAATATGCATATTCAAAATAAATAACAAAATAAATTACCAGAGTGCAATAGAAGCTAAAATATGAGGGCTTAAGGATGCTTTTACCCTGATAGTGACCAAAATGCAAGATACGCTGAAATAGGGAGGACCTGGAATGCGATTTGACCCTGAAATAAATGAACAAAATAGAAAACCCCTAGAAATAGGGGACCTGATACGTGATTTAACCATTTTCCATACAAACATAATATTTTCCTCCTCCATTTACGTGAACCAGGCAGAAGCTTTCCAAAGCTTCAACGCTTCCCTTCGGCCGCCGCACGCCGGCCCCCACTCGCCGGCCACCAAGACGATGACCGACCTACAACCACGGCGACCTTTACCACGACCAATGGAAGCCCGAAAGACGGCTTAAACGGCCAAGAACCTCTCCCGTTATCCTCCTCTCCCATTCTTTCTCTACAACGCCGAGGGACGTAAAACCGACCCCCAACGCCGGCCACCAACAACCGAAGTTTCCTAGCCGTGAGAGGATCTCTCTCGCACGCCGGCCACCGCTCAACGGTGGCCACTCCCTCTGCCTGTGAACCCCTGAAACCGAAGCAAAAACCAAGTGAGAAAGCCAAAAAAGAACGAAAAGGAAAAGCAATATTGGAGAGAAAAAAGAGTCAAAGCAAACTGTCTTTCATTCCATATTTTCGGGGAAATGCTCCCTGATTTTACAAGGGTGGTTGGGGTATTAATAACCTCAACCACTACATTTTAATATTGTTTTTTTACACATAATAAAATAATATTGAAAAAATGGTGTTTACAGCTGCCCCTCTTTGCTCATTACTGTGGAACAGGAATAGAGCAAAGATAGTAAGCACCATTTTTTATCTATACTAAATTACTAAAATCTTGAACTTCAATTTCTTCTGATCGGACGAATTCTTCTCATTATGAACTCTTCGTTGATGATGTCACTCAACTTTCTTCTGTGATGGAATCACCAAGGTTGAACAAGTTCTTCTCATTATGAACTTCTTCTCCCTCGCCGGATGAGTTCTTCTCATTATGAACTCTCAACTGGAAATGTTGATCCACCTCCTTCTGTGATGATTGAGCCAAGGTGATGCTAATCCAACTCCTTATGTGAGGGACTGGCGAAATGATTATGCTGATCCAACTCCCTATGTGATGGACGAGCAAAAGTCGGTGATGTTCCAATTCCTTATGCGATGGAAACAAGCTAAAGTTGAACAAATTCTTCTCATTATGAACTTCTTCTCCTTCCTCGGATGAGTTCTTCTCATTATGAACTCTCCACTGGAAATGTTGATCCCCCTCCTTCTGTGATGATTGATCTAAGGTAATGTTGATCCATCTCCTTATGTGAGGGACTAGCTAAATGATTATGCTGATCCAACTCCTTATGTGATGGACGAGCAAAAGTCGGTGTTGTTCCAACTCCTTATACGATGAAAGCAAGCTAAAGTTCTTCTCATTATGAACTTCTTTTCCCTTATCGGATGAGTTATTCTCATTATGAAATCTCCACTGGAAAGGTTGATCCCTCGAGTGAGGTGTTGCTGATTCAACTCCATATGTGACGAATCGAGCTAAGGTTGAACAAGATCTTCTCATTATGAACTTGTTCTCCCTCTATCGGATGAGTTCTTCTCATTATGAACTCTCCACTGAAAATGTTGATCCCTCGAGTGAAGCACCACTGATTCGAAATGTCATGAATCGAGTGATAAGTCGAACAAGCTCTTCTCATTATGAACTTCTTCTCCCTCTATCGGATGAGTTCTTCTCATTATGAACTCTCCACTGGAAATGTTGATCCCTCGAGTGAGGTGTTACTGATTCAACTCCATATGTGACGAATTGAGTTAAGGTTGAACAAGTTCTTCTCATTATGAACTTCTTCCCCTTCATCGGATGAGTTCTTCTCATTATGAACTCTCCATTGGAAATGTTGTTCCCTCGAGTGAGGTGTTGCTGATTCAACTCCATATGTGATGAATCGAGCTAAGGTTGAACAAGTTCTTCTCATTATGAACTTCTTCTCCCTCATCGGATGAGTTCTTCTCATTATGAACTCTCCATTGGAAGTGTTGATTGGTTTTCCCTCTCTTTGAAGAGTTTTAAACCTGCAAAAGATTATCATATGTCAGTAATAATGGTG